AAATTGAAGTAGAAAGTTTCGGTTTTTATGCTGCAGGATGTTACGCAATGTTCTATTTGTATGGATCCTCTGAAAATGAGTGAAATGAAGTAGAAAGTTTCGGTTTTTATGCTGCAGGATGTTAGGTTTCAGTTCATGAACACTGTTAGAATTGCAGAGAAGCCTTTGAATCTGACTTATATTCATATGAGAGGAGATAACCGGACAATTGTTGACGGGAGTCTTGTGATTGATCCGGCTAACAAGTTGTCTGCTAATTACATGGTGGGCACAAAGAATTGTAAGCTGAAGTATACTTATGTTCATGGAGGGATAGCTACATTTGAGCCATGTTATGACTTGGCTAAGAATGTGTGGGACTTTGCGGTTTCTCGTAAACTTTATGGTGGTGATAATCTCAAGGCCACTTATCAGACTTCTAGTAAGATGCTTGGTTTGGAATGGTCGAGGAATTCTCAATCAACTGGATCTTTCAAGGTAAATACTATTTTTACTTCTCTGTTTTTGTTCATTGCGCAACTTCTTTTGACACTAGATACCCTTATATGGTTATCCTAGCATTTCTTCTTATGGTCCTGTCTCTTCTCTAGAATTGTGGTTTTGCACTTCATTATGAAACAAATAAATTATCGCTGCAAAACAAAGCATCTATGTGCAATATAGGAGACTACATTGCTCTTCTTGTAATGACATTTAGTTTTATCTAGTAGGTTAAAACTTCTTAACCCAGCCCATGTTGTTTCATCATTAATTGCATAAAAGATGCATGGTGATCTTAAGTGTTGATCAAAGAATTGGATTAGAACCCTTTGGTTAGGGAAATAGTTCATCTTACATGGTTCTGGAAGTTGGGTAGAATATTTGGTTGTATCATCGATCGGGGTTTCCAATAGGTTTAAAACTAACTTCTGCTCTATTATTGTTGGTTTGAACATGTAAATGTGAAGGTGAACTAGAACTTCTCTTGGTGCAATGCATCTTAAAAGAGTGCCTGAATCGAGTTTTTAGAAGTTCAAAGCACTCAGCCAATTGGTTCCTTTTCAGTCGTGGTTAATGAGTTTCTCTTACGGTTTCAACAGGTGTGTGCATCAATGAATCTAGCCGAGGAATTGAAGCCACCAAAACTGACCGCAGAAACTACATGGAACCTGGAAATTTAGCTCCCAAGAGGTCTCAATTCTTTTGTTGTTTAATGTGGATTCGAGTCTTGACAAAGGAATCTAGGAGATTGCTAGTCGTTCCTTGTTTATCATTGTTAGGACTATAAGGACCACAAAAATTGCTATTCTAGTATTAGTGAGTCCAATTAGTAGTAAAATGACCAACTAAGGTGTTTTGTTCAACATTTGCCGAGCTAGATATATCCTATGCTTGAGCTTTGGACTTTCGTTTAAAGTCAAAAGTTGTCACAAATTGAAACCATATGAAACTATATATTTCTCTATATATTTCTCTATATATTTCTGAGAAACAAAGCTAACTTACAAATGCATGAAGAGTTACTTAGGAGTTGCTCAAAGATCATCATCTACACGGGCTGGAAATATTTTCCGCAATCAATCTATAAACTTGGTTTAATGAGAGAATCAAAAGCAAAATGAGTACACAAGCAGCTAAATTAGCTTCGCGAGTATTTGTTTGTTGGTTAACTCCAACAAACACTCTCAGTTTTCTAGCTTCATAACATATATGACCTTGAAATCTAACTTTTAAGAGAAATTAGGTAAGCTGGTCACATACGGTTGGCACGTCAAACATCAATATACACTGCTACATATAGCATAAGAGAAACGAGCGGTGACACCATCGCGCTCACAACTTGGCGGGCTAACTAACTATTTGCATTGAAAAATCTATCTGCAACCATATCACATTCGTGTACAAATCTGCATCACTGCACATCCAAACGTGTATGCATATTTGGTTTACTTCTAGAAACTAAGTAGAAATTGGCCATTGCACAAAAGAGATTGAATTCTTAGCTACATCATAAATATCTTTCCAAGCTTTTCTTACCAATTGTAATTTGTAAGTATAAATGTTTTGTTAAGAAGTAGTTTGTACATCGATTCTTCGTAAGGTTGCTGTCCAAGCTTCGGTTTATCACATTTGGAAACAGAGGAATAATGTACTCCACAACTTGCAGTCCATTCCTCCTCTGCTCATCTTCAAAAACATTGACCGTGAGGTGCGTAACACCATCTCACCTCGTCGCCATCGAAAGCGTTGGAGGAACTTAATGGTTCTCTGGATCCCTTAAATCTCTTTCTCCCTAATCTCTATTGTAATCTTGCTTTTTATTCTTTTTTGCCAAGATTACTCTCCTCTAGGTTTTACCCTTGTATTTCCTAAACACTTCATTTTAATGATATTAACATTTTAGCAAAATAAAAAAAAAAAAAAAAAAAAGTAGTTTGTACATTTCAATTAGGACAATGTAAATATGTTGACAAAAAAAAGAAAATTTAAATATTTTATTTCAATTTTAACCTCCTTTTGTAAAATAAGATCCCCTTAATTATAAAATAAAATAAAATAAAATGTTACATGAAAAGAATACATATCACATAACAGTTAAATGAAAGGTAAAATCAAATAAACTCGTCCAAAAAGTATTTTGACAATTATATACTATGACACAACTATTTTTGTAATTTGTTATACAACGTTTTGTGACTTTTGTCATACACTAATAATTCTCTAGTTTTAATTTTGTAATATTTTATCATCATAATTCATACATATGTCCTTTCTTCTTAATACTAAATTATAGATTAGATCTTTAAAACACCTTTCTTGGATTTTAGGGGAGCCATTGGACGGTTTCAAGATTAGATATATTAAGTGTTTATGTGGACGACCTCTTCTGTCTCCCGATAACATATATTAAGGAATCTGATATTTTTGGAAAGAAATGAAAAAATGAATCAAGCAAAAGTTCAACGGTTAATCATCACAAAAACTCATTGTATATACTAGGTAATTCATTGTTGGACTAAGTGATTATATATGCTAGAGTAGATCCGCTTATACAATATTTTGCGTTTATGTTTAATCTGAGATTAAGATACATAATAAGTGTGTATATACAAATGTACTATGTTAAGTGTGTTTTTGGTGTTTTCTATGTTTAGGACAAACGGGAGAATCTAAGAAGTTAGTCATGTTGCTCGTGCAATAATGCCTACCATATCACGATTCACAAACATCTATTTGGTTTAATACTATATAATATAAATTGTGGTCGGTAGGATTAGTTCATCACAAACATTTGGTTTGTTTGTTTGTTTTTTTTCTTAGTTGATAAAACAAATATTAATTCATTGTTTGATTCTTCGCCATTGCCATTCTTTCTTAATCATCTCCTATATTGTAATAAAAAGAACTCATACTTTTGATACTTGTTCTATAGTTCTATTTAAAATAATTTCTTATAATCGGAATCATTGTAAGCCAAAAGCTAAACTAATCTTAAAATCTTATAAAATTTTGGATCCTTTTATATATATTCAAAATATATATGAACGGGCAAGCATAGTGGTAAATAGATATTATTTTCAACATTTTAAATCATATCTTATTCTACCATATTTACATACATTTTATTCTTTCTATAGATGAAGTTCATTTTTTATTTAGAACAAAAAGACAAATCGATCGAGTTACATGAGTGTTTCTTCGACCAAGTCTTTGATCACAGAAAACTTTAAAGAAGTATCCAGAGATGCAAAATCTTTCTACTCATTATTATATAATAATAATAATAATCTATATACTAGTGATTGACCCGCGGTACACCGCGGGACGATATTTTATAACGAAAAAATGAAATTTTAAGTTGTATTTGTTTTGTTAATATTATTTGTTTTGTTTAGTGTTTAAGATTGTATAAGTGTATTTTGATTGTTAATTATAGGATTTCACTCGTAGTATACCATCCCTTATTAATATTGACCATAACCCATCTCACCATATAACCTCGTCCCGTGAAAAAGCTTACATAATTATAATATTTAAATTTTAATAAAGTTTAAATATTTATAATATTTTAAATTTGTATATATAACATTAACAAAAAAATATTATTTCGTATTAAAGATGTATGATTACACTTTTGGATTGTTAAATTTAATCCATAAAACATATGTATTTTAGTAACTCAATTACACATTTAGATATTGACCCGTGGGACAATATTGACTTTTTAATTTCGTATTAAAGATGTATGATTACACTTTTGGATTGTTAAATTTAATCCATAAAACATATGTATTTTAGTAACTCAATTACACATTTAGATATTGACCCGTGGGACAATTTTGACTTTTTAAATTTTGTTCTTCATAAATTTATGATTTTAGTAGTATATAAAACTGATTGGTGGTGTATGGTTTTTGATAAATTTAGCTCTTATAGTTAAATGTAGTATTATTTATATTCATATGTATGACAAAATATTTCTTAAATTAAATAAAAGGATTTGTAAAATTATTCACAAACCAAAAATTCAGCCCATTTTCATGGATACGGGATCTTTGTTTAAACTGAAAATTATACATCTTTTTTTTCTTTTGATTTTTTGAACTTTTTATTAAAGTAAAAAAAGTATTTGTAAAATAATTCACAAACCAAAAATTCAGCCGGTTTCTATGGAACAATAAAAAGATTACACCAATTCCAAATCATTTTTTTCAAAAGTGTTTAGTATCTCCGATCAATAAGAATAAAGCAAGAACCAATCAATTCTTAGTGCTTAGTTTTGTTGTACTTTTTTTAACCCATTTAAGACCCAAAATCGTTCATATCTTCATCTCTTTAAGCCAGAACTTGCCGCCACTTTTCGTTTTCCCTAATCCAGCCTCCACTTTATCTTTATATTTCGCTAAAGCGTCACCACCGTCGTCTCTGCCGTCATTTGTTTTTCCCGATGATTAATTGTTGTCCCGCTGATCGGCCCAAGAATTTCACATATGGTTTCAAGTAATTATCACCTATATAAATAAAAACAAAAAACATCAGTTTTAATTCAAAACACGTAATTAAAATAGCTTTACAAAGTCGAATCACAATAGAGTGTATGAGGAAACTTCTATAAGTAATTAGACTTCTGTATGATTAATATTACTCCCACTGAGAGCAGTTGGCTTTTTTGTTATATTCCTAAATCCTAAGTCCCCCTGCAAATACAGATAATACAAATAAGGTGTCAACTACACAACAAAGAGGTTAAGAATAGATTTCCTACACAAGTTCAACTACACAATCTGAGCCAGAAATGGCAAACCTTAAACATGTATCGTTGATACAACACTGAATGCAAACTACACTCACAATGGTATGTCTAGACTGCAAAAATCAAAATAAAAGAAAATCAGTACTCAAGACACTTATGTCAGCATGTATAGGCCTGGGCAAAAAACCCGGACCCGATACCCGAACCGATACCCGGACCGAAAAAATCGGGTTGGGGCGGGTTAGGGTATTAGAAAATTACCTCATTGGGTAGAGTATTGGATTACCCGTGGGTATCGGGTCGGGTCGGGGATTACCCGTTACCCATTTAGGATACCCACAAACCCGAAGAAATACACATGTTTATATATGTATATAGATAATTAGATATATAGTCTTATATAGTTATATACTTATATATATATTTATATATATATATATGCAATACACATATGTTTATATATGTACTAGATAAGGCCCGCGTAAATATGCGGGTTAGAAAATAAAATAAATGTAATTTTTATCGAGAATATATAAAATCTAAGTAATAACCTATATAATTTTTTGATCTTATATATGGTAATTTTTTAAATCGGATTTGAACCACACATATTCCATTTTCCAATACAATTTAACTATCTATTTTCTATACCATCATAATAAACCATAATTTATATTTATGCACTTAATGAATTAGAGCTAACAAATTATATCAAACACAATTTATACATAATATCAAATTTATATTATTTTTTAACATCAAATCTATATCTTAGTTAGAATTAAAAATAATTTAGAAATTAACAAAACAAAATTATTAGAAAATTAAAATATAATTCACAAAGAAAATTGGAAATCCAACATTTACCTTTTCTTAGTTTTAATTTGATAATTAAAAAAATATTTCTTTACCTTTTTTAAAATCTAAGTATATGTTTTAGATTTAGAATTTTTCATATTTATGTTAACATAATGTCAAAATCTAATTGGTTGTAATTTTTTACACTTGTCAAAATCTTATTGAAATACTTGTCACATGTCGCGATCCTATGAATTATTAACTTTAGAAACCATACTTTATATAATAAGATATAGATAATTAAAATCTACTCTTAACACTTAAGAGTGAAATAGTCATCTCTGTTATTTTGGATTGGATTTAGTATTTAAATGTCATGTTTGATGTTCTATTCTCTTTATTTGATCATTTGTATGTAAAGTGATTTTAAACTTCGGGTATTACCCAAACCGACCCAAACCCGACAATACCCGAACCAGACCAGAACCGAAACTATAGAAATACCCGAATGGACCATAAATTCATTACCCATTCAACCCGAACCCGAACGGGTTACCCATATGCCCAGGCCTAAGCATGTAATTGAAGCATGAAATAGAATAACATATTAAGAATTGGACAGAGCCAGGAAGGAGAAGATACAAAAAGGCATCTGTGTCATACCTTCATTGATTTCATTTCATCAAGTGCAGCTATAATGTCCATTTCTTTTTTAGAATCCAAAGTTCTGTTCTCCAAGGATTTCATCGCGTCCCCCATCTCCTCAGTGTCTCTTTTCTGTGGAACCAAATGTTGTATCGTTGATACAACACTGAATGCAACCAAAACCTGAATAAATCATCTGCAAAAGCAAACATTGTGTCGTTGTTAATCTCTTTTCTCAAACCGACATAACTACTTTAGCTTTGAACAAAGCCAAAGAGTGAGATTAAAGTTTGGAAGATGATATAAACAAACCTTATTTTGAAATAAAGCCTTGAGAAAAAGAAAGAGAGAAGAAATATATTTTTCCCCAAAAAAATCAAGAGTTGCCGATGGTAAGAGTTGTTATGCAAGAGAGTGTATATATAGTAAAATGAATTAGGTTAAGCATGTAGAGTTGTGATCACGCAAAAAATATTGTTAGGAGAAAAAAATTAGGTATAAAATCTTTGGATCCCAACTTAAAAGGAATATTCCTGATTATGAGTGATTGTGAGTTGGTTGAAGCAATATATTTCTTGGCTAAAGTCGATTTCAGAGAGATATTCAAGGGAACGAATCTCGGGAATGAATGCAGGTACCATTGAATGATTGAGAAGAATTAATGTCGTTGCTGGAAATAAGGATTGTGGAGAGCTATTCGCGGGATCTTAATTGAGTGAAAAATAAGGTAAGATTCTTGTTGAATAAGGTAGATTGTGAGCATTTCAAATTGCTGAGATATTCTCTAGTTAGATATTTGGTAATTTAGATTTGATTATGTTTAATAGCTTTGTAAATCGCATGCTAATTTAGATTTTAAAACAATTTGGAGGTTTTATTAGTTTCCATATCATAAATTATCTTAATATATATGTTTAAGAGAATTATCAAGCGGAGGTGCGACGGCCCGGGGCTTTTTTTTTTATAAAAAAATTTACATATAAAAAAGGCCCAAATATTTTTTAAAAATATTATTAATATGAGAATTATATTTTAAGAGGCCTAATTATTTATAAGAAAATGTATAAAAAGGCCCAAAATTTTTAAAATAACAATTTTTACTATAAAAACTCCGCAAAATTTTTAAAAATTAAGTAAATTTTCTCTTTGTATATAATAATAGGCCAAAAAAATTTTTTTTGCCCTAAGGCTCTCAAATATATTGAGCCGGGGCTGGTGAAAAGGCTTTCCACTACAAGAAAACATAGCAAATTCCGACAAACCAAATAGTCGGAAATTCGTCGGAAATGGATGTTTCCGACGAATTTCCGACTACACCAAGTTTGTCGGAATTCTCTGGTCGGAAAACAATATTCGTCGGAAATTCGTCGGAAATTTCTGTCGAGATGATTTGTCGGAAAATTCGTCGGAAATATTTGTCGGAAAATCGTCGGAAATATTCGTCGAAAGCCCGTCGGAAAGGTGTCGGAAATGTCCGTCGGAATAGCGACGGAAAATTGCCGACGATATCCCGACGGCATATTCCGACGCCATTCCGAGGAGATTCCGACAAACGACGCCGCAAGATCGAGTACGATTCCGACGATTTTCCGACCACAAATCGTCGGAAGTTCGTCGGAACGTTCCGACGAATTTCCGACGAATGGATGTTTCCGACGAATTTCCGACAAAATATAATATAATAATATATTTAATAGTTTCCGACGAATTTCCGACAAATCGTATTTTTTTTATTATTTTCCGATGAATTTCTGACGAAATATTATATTTTATTAAAAAAAAATATATTTATATTTTATTGTTAATTAATATAATTAATTAAATTAAATAATATTAATTTAATTTAATTGTAATAATTCAATAAAACAAACACAAATATTATATAAAAACATAATTAAAAAAAATAAAATTCACCACATAATATAAAAAACATAATTAAACATTAATAAGTTCTTAAACAACTAAAAATTATTACAAACGCAAATATTATATATTATCAAATAGAGTGTCAACGTTATTTGTTTCATTTTGATTTCCGGGTTGATCTTGGCGAGAAGGCGGAACGATGTCGGGATGAAGACGGGCCATCGTATCCATCCAAAACTTACAATCTTTTAATTGAGTCTTCAACTCGATGATTTCGGCTGCGTTTGCTTGACAATTCACGTGTGCATGTGAATACGACGAACTTCCGCCCATGTCTTCGTCATACGGAATGGAACCGTATCCAAATCTACGTCCTTTTTTAACTTCAACTTGCTATTATAATGAAAATGTTGTTAGGAAATAAAACATATTATCTAAATTATAATATTTTAATTACTATTACTTACCGATCGGAAAATAACATATTAAAATAATTGAAAGATAAGTTGTTTGTACCTGCAATTGCTTCATGGACAACATTTGGTAGGAGTTGTGTAAACGCAAATGGTAGTAAACGCTGCATGAAGACGTGACAGTCATGACTTTTCATCCCAGCTAATCTACCACTGTGATCATCAACACAATATGATAGATTTGATGCATAGCCATCAGGAAATTTAACATCATCAATTATCCACTGAAAAAACTTGGTCTTCTTGCTTGCATCTAATCTCCATATAGGAATAGGACCTACTCCGTCTGCAAGCAAATGGAGATCCTCGCGCGCACAAATATCGGGTAAATCCATTCTGGATTTGACATTATCTTTAGTCTTACCCGGGACATTTAAAATGGTGTTAATTATATTGTCAAAGAAATTCTTCTCAATATGCATAACGTCAAGACAGTGGCGGAGTAGATGATTTGTCCAGTACGGCAACTCCCAGAAGATACTTTTTTTATGCCAATTATGATGTTCTCCATATCCATCAATTCGGACATGGCCATTACCGCCTACCGATGATGTACAGTCAACATCAAAATCACGAAATTGATTCAATATATAATCACCATCATACTCAGGTGGCGGTGGATCACGGATACTCTTGTTCTTGCGGAACAACGTCTTACTACGACGATATGGATGATTTCGTCTTAGAAAACGACGATGACAATCAAACCAACTTGATTTCCGGCCATGTCTTAGTTGGAAGGCATCTGTATTATCTTGACAATATGGACACGACAGTCTTCCATGAGTTGTCCAACCCGATAACATGCCATATGCGGGAAAGTCACTAATAGTCCACATCAATACAGCACGCATGTTAAAATTTGTCTTTGTGGAGACATCATATACCCAAACCCCTTGGTACCATAACATTTTTAACTCTTCTATAAGCGGCTGTAGGAACACATCAAGTGAACGACGAGGGTGGTTTGGACCAGGAATCAAAATGGTTAAGAAAAGAAATTCTCTTTTCATGCAAAGGGAAGGTGGGAGATTGTAAGGGGTGACTATTACTGGCCACAAAGAATATTTTCTACCTGACTTTCCAAATGGATTGAATCCATCCGTGCATAAACCAAGATAGACATTCCTTGGTTCATTAGCAAAGACTGGATATGTAGAACAAAAATGTTTCCAGGCCGATGCATCCGATGGATGTGAAATCTCCCCGGTGAACTCATGTTCAGCGTGCCATCGCATACCCTCCGCTGTCCGATCTGACTGATACAACCTCTTCAACCTATCAGCCAAGGGCAAATACCACATACGCTTATATGGTATTTTGTTTCGCCCACCAGTAACCTGAAACCTTTCAGCACCACAGAAACGACATTGAGACATATTTACATTATCTCCCCAAAAAATCATACAATTTTCTCTACACACGTCAATCATTTGGAATGGTAAACCTAGCCCAGATACCAATTTTTGGATTGCGTTGTATGAAACTGGCGATAAATTATCTTCCGGTAGATAATCGTGGATAAAATCAGCCCACGCATCAACACAATCTTCACTTAAATTGTAGTCTGTTTTGATGTTCATCATACGTGTTGCGGCGGATAAAGGAGAATGACCCTCTCTGCATCCTGCATATATCGGATGATTTGCAGCATCTAACATATCGAAAAATCCCTGTGTTTCTAAGTTGGGTTCCTCCGCAACATTAGTATTTTCTACGTTATCATGAAATTCACCACTACCACTTCCAATTACATTATCTTCTTCCTGGTGAATATGCTCATCGCTAATTATAACGTTTTCATCTCTTCTTTCACGACTACTACTAGGACCCGATCTAAAATCCTCCCCGTGAGAAAACCATATATAATATCCCGGTGTAAAACCTCCCCAATATAAATGATTCCAAACAATGTCTTTTGCAAGAAAATGATCATTACAACATTTGACACAAGGACATGCCATAATACCTTCGATACGCGTCATTTCTTGATTAGATGCAAACTGCATGAATTCCATTAAACCTTCCTTGTACTCCTGCCTCATAGCTCCGGTCTCATCATCTAATCGATTATACATCCACTCTCTAATTTTATAAATATTATGAGAAGACATTTTTTTTTCGAAGATATTTTTGTGTTTCTGTTTTTTTTTTTTCAACTTTTTTCTTGTGTCTATGATTCTTTCGTTGTCTAGTATATATATAAAACTTTTCCGACTAACATTTTGTCGGAAATTCGTCGGAAATTCTAAAGTGGTTACCTTTAATATTTCCGACGAATTTCCGACAAAATGTCGTCGGAAAGTTTGTCGGAAATTCGTCGGAAAATCTAAAGTGGTTACCTTTAAGATTTCCGACGAATTTCCGACAAATTTTCCGACAAGTTTCCGAGCAGTTTCCGATGACATTGGATTGTCGGAATTTTCCATGGTTTCCGACAAATATTTCCGACGAAATTCCGACGAATTTTTAATCGTCGGAAAAGTTTTTATGTTTCCGACGAATTTCCGACGAAATATTATTTTCTTGGAAGTTTGTCGGAAATTCCCCGGAAATCCGTCGGAATAATTCCGACTAAAAATTTCGTCGGAAATGTTCGTCGGAAATTGCTATGTTTTCTTGTAGTGTTCTTAAGTTGGATTAGTGAAACTAATTTAATAATAGGAGAAGATGATTACTGGGTTGAAGATGATCTCTGAGTTTCTGGGTTGAAGGCATTGTATAATAGTAGGAGAAGATGAAGACTCGAAGAAGGAGAAAAAAAAAAATTAAAAAAAAAAAAAAAAATCGTCTAGGAAGTAAGGGAGACTCGAACCCAGGTATAGTTGGTCACTTTACCCGCACTTAACCATCTGACCAAGTTAATCGATACGTAAAGTTATTAAACAAGATTGTATATATATTCTGTAAAACACCATGGGTTAAGTTTTAACCGCAGTTAGTACTTCCGTTAGCAAAGTTAACGGTCGTTAACTCGGAGGTACGATTTTACCAATTTTTTAAAAATGAAGGTTTTAAAAGGCAACTGAAATTAATGGAGGTATTTTTATTCCAAATTTAATACTACACGTATTAAACGTCCAAAAAAAAATTAAATGGCGATTTTTTCGGGTTTTTTTTTCCCTTGTTAAATTGTCAAGACTATGATATTAATTTTCTTCTCACTAGACTATGGTACACTTATATTATATTATGTGAAATATATATATATATATATATATATATATATATATATATATATTATATTATGTGAAAACTCTAGTGAAACTTCATGTTACTACGTAAAACAACAGTGAATGTTACTAAGACTTTTACAGTTGATTATATTTTAATGTATTTTGTTTAATCTAAATTATATATTCATAATGAAAATTATTTACTACGATAAATTTTTCATATCATTGACTTTTGATATAAAATAAAATTTATAAAAAAAATATTATTTACAAAATAAAAATATTCACGGAAAAATTCTTTGAATTTTAAAGAATCTAAAACAGAGTTACAAAGAACCGCAAAATTCAAAGAACTTTGGATGTTGTTGCCTTGTTGGTGATGAGTGCGAGTCACAAAACCATTTTGGGACAGACTCTCTCAAGCTTGTTACATTAATATAACTGTCTAATAAATTAATCATTCTAAGTTTCTAACTTTAAACTTATAAGTTATAAACAACAAATATCATTTATAAATAATGTATAGTTATATATATAATATTAAGAATCTAGATATTCGTCTACTTTTGTAATACAATGTTTGTAAGTTTGAGAAATTAAAGAAAAAAACAAGGTTAGTCATGCTGTGAAGATTTATATTTTAATGTAGTGAACTATTTTCACATAAATATATGCTTTGTTTCAAATAATTGATTACTATTCTTAGCCAAAAGGAAAAACCAATTGTCATTTTTTTTTATTGATAATAGATTTACTTATGCTATAAATATAATTGGACCTAATTCTGAAAACAACACAAATTATTCTTGTAAATTTCCCATAAGTAAAGAAATTAAAAGTTAGATATTTTGTCCATCCATTTTATTGAGGACCATTTTGTTTATTTTCGGTGTTTTATTAAGGAGCATTTAATATAGATGGTTTTATTATCATTTTTTTTCAAATTTTTTTTTATTATTCATAAATATTTGACATAGATGTACAAACAAAATCGGTATAATCTTCTGTTTGGTCATAAAAATTAAATTGGTAAAAATAATTTTATTTATAACATCTTATTTATTAACTTGAATCAGAAATTATATAGTTATCAATAAACATATATATATACAAAAAATAATCGGAAAAGTAAATTAGATATTATTTTCTTATGCAATTAACAGACTAGCAAATCTGTTATTTTTCTTGATTCTCTTCGTTTTCAATGTAAGTTGATTTTCTTTATACTTTATAAAAGATTTTTTTTCAATTTATTATTATTCATGAATCAGTATTTTTTGTTTTTTTTTTAATTAACATCGAATCAGTGTATCTTTTCCATGTGTTGTTTGCTGATTAAAAAAATAAATGTTTTGAGTTTGAAACGGTAACAGATGACAAATAAAAAATTAAATAAAAATTGAAAGATGTCACGGCCGCGAGTCGTTGAAGCCTAAAAACCAACCAACCCCATTGAGCACTTAAGCTCTTACCAAAACCATGAATCCTTCTTCTTCTTCTCATCATCATCATCGTCGTCCTCTTCCTCATCGCCGACCTCACTCTGGATTCCGATTCTCTTATCTCCGTCCCTAGTTTCACCTTCCTCGTCGCTTCTTCCGGCGATGAAAGCGGCTCTTCATACCGGAGACGCCAGAGCTTGGAGGTATTAGGGTTTTCTTTTCGGAATTTCTCCTTGATTTTGCTATGGCGGAAGAGAATCGTAAGGATCGAGGTGTTTCTTCTACAGTTGCGATTCCTTCTGGTTTGAACCGGATCAAAACTCGGTTAGCTTCGTCAGGTCTTAGACCTGAAGATTCCTCCGATACCGTTGTAAAACCTCCGTTTAATCGGAATCAGAAGATTATTGTTCCTCGTGGATATGGTAGAACCACTGGCTCTTCCAAACAAGGTTTTGATTTGAAGATTATGAACTTTTTTTTTTTCCCTTTGTTCGTTTAATTTCCCTGGAACAAGCACTGATTTATGGCCTTTTTTCAGTACTAAGTTATAGAATCATTGTGTTAGCTATTGGTTTTGTATGATCAATTAAGAAATCAAAATTTTCACATGATCATAGTAAAAAAAAAAAAAAATTGTTATGAGCTTGGATTTTAGAAAATCCATGGGAACCCCCAAAAATGCTCTGTAGATTCATATATTGTAGTTGAAATTTTTTGTTGCTGGTGAGTGATGTTAATTCTCTGTTTCGTATATCTACTAGAGCGTAAAGGAACAAAGTTGTCGAGGTGGCTTGCTTCCTATAAACCCAAGTATTCTTGTCATCCTCCAAAATATGCTTGCTCGAGTACAACGAGTAGTGAGGTAATGTGTGGTTTTGCTTCGGTTTTTCCATGAAAGGGCGGCATTGGCTTTGAATTAACCGCTTTGTTTTGGTGACAGGACATTAAGTTAAGAGGCAAGAACTGTGGTAAAGACGAAGAGATGATCATCAAGGTATCTGAAACTAACCTTCCCTGTTCCAAGTCAATGGGTATAAAGAGCTTTTCCCATGAATTAGGGCCAAGGGGTGGTGTTCAAACTCCCTACCCTCGTCCGCACAGCTATAACGATCTGAAGGTACTACTACGGTCTTAACCTTTAAATTTTTCTTTAATTGAGTTTGAAAATTGTCGCAAGATATTGTTTTACAAATTGATGAAACTTCTCAGGGTTGAGTTCTGTTTTCGAAAAAATTAAGGAATTCAAGTAAAATCTGTGTGCCATATATGATATAGCTAGTCCAATGACTCATTTGGTTGGGGTCTAACTATGTTAATTGGTTCTTATTTTTCAATTGCAATGATATTCAGGAACTTCTGGGCTCACTTCACTCAAGATTTGATGTTGCTAAAGAGACCGTGGATAAAAAGTTGGATGTCTTTGTCATAGATGTGAAAGAGGCTATGGAGAAAATGGATCCACCATGTCCTGAAGATCGAGAAATGGCAGAGGAGTTACTTGATGTGGCTCGAGCCTGTATGGAGATGACATCTGCTCAACTTCGTGCTACTTGTGAATCGATTGTCCACGACTTAACTAGGAAAAGGAAACAGTGCCAAGCAGGACTTGTGAAGTGGTTGTTCTCTCAGTTGCTTTTTATATTGACTCATTGTACAAGAGTTGTGATGTTTCAGAAGGAGACTGAGCCAATTGATGAGAGCTCCTTTCGCAAATTCAAGGAATGTTTAGAACGCATCCCTGCTTTGGAAACAGATTGGGGTTCTACTCCTAGAGTTGATGATTCTGGTTCTGGTTATCCTAAATACCAAAGGGATGAAGCTGGGCAAAAGTTCAAAAGACGAGAGACAGAATCATTGGAGTCAGAGACAACTTTTGATTATGTGATTCCAAATGATCATAGCAATAATGCTGCTACGGAAGGTTATGCGGTTGCTAAACAGGAATTTCCATCGCAGGAACCTCAATTTGATAGTAAAGTGGTACAACAAAGATTTTATTTGAGCGATGAGTATGAACATAAGATGCTAAATGAGCCTGTAAAAGAGTTAGGCAGATCTGATTATGTAATCTGCAGGATATGTGAAGAGGAAGTTCCTCTCTCCCATCTGGAACCTCACTCTTACATATGTGCATACGCAGATAAATGTGAAATAAATTGTTTGGATGTTGATGAGCGCCTTTTGAAACTTGAGGAGATACTGGAACAGATAATTGATTCAAGAAGTTTAAATTCCTTCACTCAAGCTGGTGGCTTGGAAAACTCTGTTCTGCGGAAATCTGGAGTTGCATCTGAAGGTTGTTCTCCCAAGATAAACGAATGGCGGAATAAAGGTTTAGAGGGGATGTTTGAGGATCTGCATGAGATGGACACTGCCTTCATAGACGAGTCTTACACATATCCTATTAACCTTAAGAGCCATGTAGGGGCCAAAATATGCCATCATGCCACTTCATCATCAACAGGTAGCATCACGTCAGTATCTTCAACAAATACCCCCAGAACAAGTCACTTTGACTCCTATTGGCTAGAACGGCATTGTCCAGAGCAAGAGGATCTTCAACTGGTTAGTTGTCTGTTTCCCTTATATTCTCTTTTAGGCAGATTATATGTTGCTGTACTAGTTTACTACTGTGCCTTGCAGTATCAATTCTTATATGTTGAATTGGGTCATCCTGCTGAGTTTTGGAAATATAAATTGGTTTAAATCAATTATGTGGTGTTGCCAGGATCTTAGAATCCTTAATGTCTTAATCAATAAAACTTTAGACGCTCAAAATTTTGCGAGTATTACTGATGCCATTATTGGGTTGAGAATTTCTCGTCTCTTGTTATAACCCCTCTAGGTTTTAGCGAGTCCCTAGCTTCAATTCCTTCTAATTCATTATTTTGTTACTTGTCAATGGCGGGTCTCTATTCTCCAGATCATATATTTATCATTTTTCTTACCTGTTTCACTGATCTTTGTATAAATAAACATTTAGAAGCATAATATATTAAGTTTTTTTTCTTTGTTTTCTTCATCTTGCAGATGATGGACCTTTCTGATATTGCCCGCTGTGGAGCAAGCACAGATTTATCGAAAGAGGGGTCCTGTGACTATATAATGGCCTGCATGCAAGACATACAAGCTGTCTTGAAGCAGGGCAAGCTCAAAGCACTTGTAATTGATACTTTTGGGGGGCGGATCGAGAAACTTCTCTGGTAAATTCACTGTGCAATAGAATACTAACTACTGCACTCGTCCTATAAGTTTAACTAACTCTGATATTACGTGCAGCGAGAAATATTTATATGCTCGTGAATTGACTGCCGATAAAAGTTCAGTGGGTAACGTTAAAGAGAGTGAAGATGTCTTGGAGCATGCATCGGCTACTCCACAGTTACTGCTGAAAGATAGGATAAGCATCGATGACTTTGAGATCATCAAACCAATAAGTAGAGGTGCCTTTGGTAAAGTCTTTCTTGCACGCAAAAGAACAACAGGGGACTTTTTTGCAATAAAGGTAGATGCATTTTGTTTTTGCTTTGATGCACATAAATTGGTGTTTATTTTGCTTTGTTGCAGATATATGCGCAGCGCTTTGAACCATATATTTTAGTGACAAGAATAAAATGTAAATATAGTTAAATAGTTGCTTCTTGTCCAATTTTAGACAGCCTAGTCGTTGTTGCCATATTGTTCAAACCTCTCATAATGACAATACTTTTAAAAGATTGAATCCTTAGTTATGAAAATTCTACTTGAAAAGCTCATATAAGTGAATCAGGCTAGTATCCTGGCTCCCTATGTTGTATTAATTGCTGCATTGTTATACGTTGTACTATTCGGAGTCAGCTTGTCCATGTGCTAATCCTAGTTAGCTCATATGCAGGTACTCAAAAAGTTGGATATGATAAGGAAAAACGATATCGAGCGGATACTGCAAGAGCGAAATATACTAATAACTGTCAGATACCCCTTTTTGGTAAATGCTTTACTTCTTTGCTACTGTCCAACTATAATATTCTTTCAAAGGCTGAACACCTGATCTTATTAATGCAGGTTCGATTTTTTTATTCATTCACCTGCAGAGATAATCTCTACTTGGTAATGGAATATCTTAATGGTGGTGATCTATACTCTCTGCTCCAGAAAGTTGGCTGTCTTGACGAGGAAATTGCTCGTATATACATCGCGGAACTGGTAAGTTGAAGGCTTTGTATGCATGGAATACCAAAGTTTGTTTGGATTCCTTCAGAAAGAGTTCTCATTTATTTCAGGTTCTTGCATTGGAGTACCTCCATTCTCTGAAAATTGTGCACCGTGATCTAAAGCCTGATAACCTGTTAATCGCCTATAATGGGCACATCAAGGTCTGTTATTTTAACTCCCACGTACCTAATATTTTCTTGCAGTTAGGTGGTTAAATGTTTTTTCCTCAATGCATACAAAAAAAGTGAAAAATGTCCTTCTTTACTTGATAAAAAGGAGAGTTATACGCAGCAAATGTGCAAACACAGATTGCTTTCTCACGCTTGTACAAAAATATTAAAAATAACCATATGCTAATATTGTTTTCCCTTTTGTTTTACCACCTAACTTGTTATTATTTTTTGTTACCAGCTAACAGACTTTGGGCTTTCAAAGATTGGTCTTATAAACAACACAATTGATTTATCTGGCCATGAGTCAGATGTATCCCCAAGAACAGGTTCTCATCATTTTCAGAAGAACCAAGAAGAAGAAAGAATTCGGCATTCAGCTGTTGGGACGCCTGACTACTTGGCGCCAGAGATTCTTCTTGGAACTGAACACGGTTTGGATACAACCTTATATTTAGGCTTTTCTGAAGCAATAGGAAATTATATTCAACTTCTTGGGCTTGCAGGTTATGCTTCGGATTGGTGGTCTGTTGGAATCGTCTTGTTCGAATTGATAACTGGAATTCCACCTTTTACAGCAGCCCGCCCAGAGGTGTCTACATATTTTAATTTACTGCTGGACTAAGCATGGTTTTTTCCTGACTAGAATAGAATCTAGGTCTGGAGCTGTCAGAAAGTTTTAAAGCCATATAGGCTTAGTGGTATCATAATCATATGTTTTCATAATTGTAGTCCAATGTTCCTTAGGCATCTTAAACAATGGAATCACAGAAATTCAGTTGGTATTTTGGTATATATATGTGATTGTGGGTTTGTCATTTTTGGGACTTGATTGCTTCATTTCCCTTTCACAATAACACTGAGGATTTTATATGTATATATCTGATTAAACCATAGCAGCTATGTCTTCTTAGCAAAGGATTCTCTGAATTATTCATTTATGATTAGTTATATTGAGATGAGTTCTACACGCAATCTAGTTTTCAATGGGTGTGCAATTTACACAGACTCACTTTTTAATTGTGCTGTACAGATAATATTTGACAACATCCTCAATGGAAAAATGCCCTGGCCAGATGTGCCTGGTGAAATGTCATATGAAGCTCAGGATTTGATTAACAGGTATGTTTTGAGGATCCTCAATCCTGCTCTCGTTTTCCTATAATTGGTCTTTCCCAGTCCTATTCATTCGTGTCTCTAAGCAAAATCACTTAATCAGTATACTTCCAGCCGATAAATTAACATCAATCCTAGTTTCTTCATATTGGTCACCCACAACATCAGCTGATTTGAAGGCTTTATATAAGCTGGTTCATGTTACATAACTTAGTTCGACATAAGTATATAATGACGGTATAGGTTTGACGTTTTACTAGTTTCTTCCATACTCATATAGATTCCCTTTCTTTCCGTAATAGGCTTCTTGTCCATGAGCCGGAAAAGCGACTGGGGGCAAATGGGGCTGCAGAGGTTCCATCACTTTTCCCTTTACTATTTATTAATGCCGCAGAATTGAGACACAAATACCTTCTAGATACATGCTACAACAGAAGGATGCTGATGTTGTTGTCTTAACTAAAATTCTCAGTAACAGCTCTGGTCTCATTTTCAGGTAAAGTCACATCCCTTCTTTCAAGGAGTTGACTGGGACAATCTTGCTTTGCAAAAGGTATGACCTCGACTCTGCATCTCTTTTTTGCATTAAGAAATATTTGATAAACAAATTATGCTATTAAAGAAATGTTAGTTGCTGGATGAAGAAAGAACAGAGAAAAAAGCTTTGCAGGCTTTGCGCTATTAAGATTTCATCAATGCACCTTATGAACGAAGGGCGAAATGTGCTGTAAATCTAAGCTGCCTTTCCTTTTCGTTTCTTTGGCAGGCTGCTTTTGTACCGCAGCCTGAGAGTATAGCTGACACAAGCTATTTCGTATCACGATTCTGTGAAAACAGTGCCAGCGATAGTGAAACTGACAACAACAGCGGGTCATTTCCAGATTCAGGAGACGAGGTAGGCATTTAGAAATTCACATCCTTTTCTCTCCATGTACTTCCAATCATCGGATCTATTGCAAACTGTTTGTCCTGGTTTTGTATTTTTTTAGTTGGATGAATGCACCAACCTGGAGAAGTTTGATTCTCCACCTTATTATCTCTCGCTCATTAACTTTTCTTTCAAGGTAAAAATCGCAGCATCGACCTTTTATTTTTCAGAATATGAATCCCAGTTTAGTTGATTGAAGTTGTTGGGTAGTTCTGCCTTGCGAAAATTACCATCAAAGTATAAGCTATTGTTAATAAAAACAGAATGTTATGATGCAGAATTTGTCACAATTGGCTTCAATCAATCATGATGTGCTATTGCAAAAGGATCCAGCTAAAGGAGGAGGAGGAGACTCACCCTTTAAAAGCCATGGAACGTAGAGCTCTGCTACAACCGTCAAAGGTGGTCTTAGTCCGCTGTTTGGTCTGGTTTGCGCCTGCTTTGACCGTTGTAGCTGCTGCTGCTACTATGCTGAAATTGTTACCTTAAGTTTTTGGGTAAGTTTTTCAGTTTTGTCATAAATTCATTTGGAACCATTTCAAATGCAAATCCAAATATTTATTGCGTGGCAACAACACACATATACCTGTGTATAAAGCTTGTGTGTATTGAGGCTGATGGTAATAAGAAAGAGCTTTGGTTACTGAATTATGAGCATCCCGCTTCCGTAACTCTTATTCTCGAAAGAAGTCTTCATTACTCTATCAGAAGACAATACCAAAGCTTGCCTCAATCCCTCCAAGGACACTGTCAATGACATAAACACCGGTTTCTGATTATCAAATTAGATATGAGAAAGTTTTTAGGAAAACATGTTCGGGGCAGCATTAGAGTAGAGGTTGTTTTAGGAATGTTAGTTAGATCTTTGTATACTCATCAAACATGATCTCTCTTTTGTCAACCACCACTTGCAAGACCCTAGCGGCACCGGGGGTACTACAGCGGTCATCTGTTGTTTCCTTTGACCCAACAGCGCATCTTGCCGTCGTCTATCACTCGAACAAGAAGAAGAGAGTTTTCAAATTCCTCAAGCGGGAGCTGCATTCAATCATATCGTATTTTTGAGATTTTAGCATATTTACAAATACATTTTGATAGTAGTCTTCACTACTTGGTCCCGACAAGCACAACATAGGAATAGAAGGCAAAACATTCGCATTCACCAACCATAGTGAGCCTCGTGGATTTCATATTGGTAAGAGATCACACACTCATCTTCCAAATCAGTCCAAATTCTACCAAGCACTTAAGAAACTAACACATTTTAGGCAAATAACAGCTTATGATGATGCAACATACACACTTTCCGCATTCTTTAAATCGGAATATGAAAAACTCTCCCTACTAGATTATGGGGTGATTAGTTAGTTAGAGCTGTTTTTGTGTGTTTTTATTTCAGGTTTTAACTTTAAAAACTTTGACTGTAAATAATGAGTGTTAACAAAATAAAATTTAAACCATATTTTATTAGCTTTTTAAAAAAGGTGTCGATCAAGAACAAAAAATAAATATACTTTAAAATCATTAAATTTTTTAGTTTGATAAAATATGGCTATAAAGATTTTTGTATTTAAAAAGTTTTTAACCGCATTTTAAACCAATTTGTCGATTGTCCCTTTAGTCGTCGTTAAAATAGAAAATAGAAATAGTGAACAAATAATATCAAATTTTGGGAAAACGGTCTATTTCCCCACAAAAACTATCACATCATAATAGATAGAGCCCAAACTATAATCTCGTGCTAGATATCCATGAAAAAATACTTCGCATCCTAAATCTCTCCGACTTCAAAGTTCGAAATCGCAAAACCCATATATATTGGTTTGACTGGTTTATGACTTAAACCGATATCAAACCCACCTCAAACCAAGCAAACCCGAAATTGTAACCTTGTTACGTCACCAACATCGGAATTGTGACCGGAGAAGACGAAGAGAAACCACTGTCACGCCATCAAGATCGTCCTCGCATCATCCCTAATCCTAAAAACCGGATCCCTAAATCTCCATCTCAACAGGTTCAAATAACAGCCGACGACTTCTTAAATGAATATGAATTCTCTCTCTCTGTTAAGGAGAGATGATTTGCTCATGGTCGCCTTCGTCACCGGAGCCAAGCTACCGCCGTCTTCAAGTCCAAGCAAACATCAACCGCAATGGCCAAATCAGAGTTTGAGTATCCATCGTGAAGGCCAAATTGTAGATGGGTTTCTCATTATTGTCGTTAATTGTTCTTGATTTTGAGTATCAAGCTCTCATGTAAAGTGAATTGATTTTGTTTTGGGTGATGTCACAGATTGTAGAAGAAGTGCGAATCCAAAAGAAAAAAGAATTAAAAAATTGCTTGATTCTAAATATGTCTAATCCAAAGATTAGATTTTGCTCTTGAAAGCACAATTGCAGAGAAGTGCAAGTTGACACAAATTGCAGAGTGCAAAGCTTTTATAAAAACTCAATTCAAAGATTAGATTTTGTTAGATAAAACATTCACACCATAATTTGTAAAGCTTTCATGAATCGCTGTTTGAGAATAGCACTACAGTTTAACCAAATTTAAACATTAGATTTTGCAATTGTAATATTGAGAAATCTAATCTTTGAATTGAGTTGAATCAAATGGTAAAAATTCCATCGAGATATGAATCTCATAGTCACCAAAATCTCAACAATCAAAAAGTGAATCAGAATCAGAGGAGGAAATCAAATGAGAGTGGCCGGCCAAAATCCCACGGTAAAAGGAGGCGTTGTCGCTCCGGCCAAGCTCCGAAGAAAATATGGTGAACCAAAAAGAAATTGGTTTGGTTAAGAGATTTTGTTGTTGTAATTGGTTTACATCCGGTTTACTATAGTATTTAGGTGGTTAATAATTGTTTGGTAAACAATAAACCGAAATTAGTGGGTGATGAGATTTCGAACTATGATTTCGGGGAGATATAAGTTTCGAACTTTGAATTCGGAGAGATTTAGGATGTGAAGTATTTTTTCATGGATATCTAGCACGAGGTTATAGTTTGGGCTCTATCTATTATGATGTGATAGTTTTCGTGGGGAAATAGACCGTTTTCCCTCAAATTTCATAAATGAATTCCATGACAATTTTTTAATATTTTTTAAAATCAATAATCAAATAACATATGATTTTGGTTTTGTAATATCAACTAAACAATAAATCATCTCAGAATATGTAAAATGTTTAAATGGTAAACAAATTTAAAGTGGTTTTTCCAAAATAAAATTAATAGGTGGATTTGCAAATTCCCAAAAGAATAATATTGCAGCAAAAATGCCTGAAAGCTACTTTTTTCCGTTTAGCCACGACTAAAGCTAGGAGTTATTTCTTCCTTACGTGTTGTTGTTTTGCTTCCTTTCACAAAGTTTCTCGCAAAACGCGATCGTCTCTTCTTCTTCTTCTTCTTCTTCAATCCCTCACAAGGATTTTCTTCTCCCTTTCCTGCGACTTTCTCGGGAAACAAAAAAAATGGACAACAATGGTAAGACTCATTTCGCTTCCGTACAATCACATACTCAATTTTCAATTCGTCTTTACTATCGCAATTCTCCGTCGTTTGCTCGTGATAATCTATCTAAGAGTTGAGAAAACAATTGTTGAAAGTACCGGAAAAATTATCACTCGATGTGCTTTGTTGAGAGCGAAACGCTTGAAGATTTCATAAGATAGCTTCGATTTCGGAAATGATCCTTTGATTCCACACAAGTTTGTGCTAATTTAACTGTGTTAGTTTGTTGAAGTAGTTGTTTTTAGGTATTGGAAAGTGATTGTAGAAATTAGCTTATAGATGGATTGTTGGAGGAATCTTAATCTTTTTTAAGAATTTTGTAGGATTGCAAGAGATGACTGTACCAGTAGAAGGAGTGGCTGGTGGAGGAACAGCTTATGGGTTTAATGATGCAGAGCCACTTAAACAATCTACGGATCCATCAGAGGTTCCAACTGCTGATTTGGTGAATGTTTGGTGTATGCCTAATACTGTTAATGTTGGTTCACAAGAAACACCTCGTCCTCTAGAGCCTGTAAGTGTTTTATTTGTGCTTCATTTCGATTATATGGTAGTAATAACTGGTGTGTTAGGTGTTTCCTTGTACATTTTTTGATTTAATAATATATTGACTCTGAATAGTTGAAAGCTCTTCTTAAGATCTTAGAAAATAGTTAAGAAACTGAGAAATATGTAAAAGTTATCGATGACCAACATTTTGTCTGAAAAGGAGTTGGTCGTAAGCTGTAAATATTTCAGTGGAATGATACCCTGGTCCTATTCGATGAAATAGTTTGAAGGGTGGGGATGATACAGAAGATCTCTTTCAGAGGGCTTAATCACTAATTGATTAATGCCAATGATGATTTATCGTTCTTTTTCCTATGCGTTGATGCATGTGTTACATATGGTTTTCATATTGTGTTCTACAGATAAATCTTTTGGCGGCTAGAAATGAGAGAGAAAGTTTCCAGATCGCCATGCGTCCTAAAGTTTCTTGGGCTGCTTCCAGCCCTTCCGGGAGTGTTCAGGTTCAGTGCAGTGACTTATGCTCCTCTGCTGGAGATAGGTGAGCTGTTAAACCTTGCTTCTTTTCATTCTTTTCTTTGGAGACCAGGGAAACTGATGAGACTTAATAAGGCGAAAATGTAAAGGGTATCTGACAGTTCAAAAATGTAATATTTCATTATTTGAGATGGTTCCTGTATCATGGCAGATTGGTTGTTGGCCAGTCGCTAAACTTGCGGCGAGTGGTGCCTGTCTTAGGTGTTCCTGATGCTTTGGTGCCCCTTGATTTACCCGTTTCTCAACTTAGCTTGTTTCCAGGGTACGACCACTCACTAATTCAATTTCTTAATCTGGTATGCGGAGACATTGCTGTCTTATTTCGTGAGACTGAGGTAGCCTGGATTGCTTCATGTTGTAGAGAAACAAGTGTGATTTGGGTCTCAATAGACGTTCCTAATCGGCAGCCTCCTGGTCAATATGAGGGAGAGATCATTGTTTCTGCAATGAAAACGGATGGAGGGTGAGTCTCTCTCTGTTAAATATTTCTTTGATCTACTTTAGGATTTTTACATTTCCTCTTAATGTCAATGTGTTGTGTGTAAATGATAATTTTGTTCATCATGGATTTGACATGCTGATGACCAATTATGCGTTTGGTTACAGCGGTTCTGCTCACTTGGGAAAGCATGAGAAAGATCAGCTATGTGTGGAACTTAATAACTGTCTTGATATTATGGAACCAATAGAGGGAAAACCCATGGATGAAGTGGTAATATTCACTTTCCTTGTACTTCATTACGTCACCCTTAATTGATATTTTAGGTGTCAATGATCTGCAGCTTATCTTTTAGGTAGAAAGAATAAAATGTGCAAGTTCGTCATTAAGAAGAATTCTCTTCTCTCCATCATTTTCGGAGTTCATTTCTACGAATGGATCAACCGATATGATGGAAGAAGATGTTGTTTCAAACCTTTCGCTGCGTATCAAGCTAAGATTGACAGTTTGGGAATTTATTATTCCAGTGACTCCATCACTCCCTTCTGTTATTGGCGTCTCTGACACTGTTATTGAGGATCGTTTTGGTGTTGAACGTGGAAGTGAAGAGTGGTACGAGAAATTGGATCTCCATTTTAAGTGGCTACTTCAGTATCGGATCAGTCCATACTTTTGCAAATGGGGTGAAGGCATGCGTGTCTTGACATACACCTCACCATGGCCTGGTACTGCAAATCTTCTTAATTTTATGCACCATCTGTATATGTTTGCATTGTGCAAGCTAATCGTTTTCCTTCACACACTGACTTCTCCATTTGCATTCCACTTTTTGGTTTCACAGCCGATCATCCAAAATCTGATGAATATCTCTCTGATCCAAGGCTTGCCGCTTATGCAGTACCGTATAGACAAGTTATAGCAGGGTATGCATGTGTTATCCCACTCAATATTTTATTCAGTGTTGTAGGTACCCAAACTAAATTTCATCTGCCTGTTGATGTGCAAGCAGGGATGATATACGGGAAAGTTATCTGCGAAAAGAAGTTGAGATACTGAGGAGTAAACCCCATTGGAAAAAAGCTTACTTTTACTTGTGGGATGAGGTATGCTTCAATCATTTTTCCCACTGATTATGGATGGTTTTAGTAATAGGAACATTCTATGTCATTTCTATATCTCATGATCCATCCTTGGCGTAGTTGATGTGTTGTTTTTTACTTGAAATTTCTTATTGACAGCTTTCATATTACCATTCGATTTTTTTTGGCAGCCACTGAATATGGAGCACTTTGACAGCGTTCGCAAGATGGCCAGTGAAATTTACGCCTATGCCCCGGATGCTCGTGTTTTGACTACATACTACTGTGGTATGATTTTTTTTGTGTGAAATTCACATATTTTAATAATTCTCTGTTCCTTGATTTTACTTCCTATTTTCCGTTGGGGTTCTGTTTTATTGGTTCTCATGGCTTTGTCTTCATGTTGATATGAGCTCCAAAATTGGTTAATGGTGAACCATAAATGTAGTTTGTATCAGTAGGTTGATCAGTATCCCACACTATGTTATTATGCAGCCCATAATGTTCGTTTATTGTGTAACGTTAATTTTTAAGCAGTTGTCACAATGGTCCGGTAGTTGTTTGATATGCTTCATTACAGAGCTTATGGATATTTATTTCTGTATGTTGATGAAAAAGGAACCAAAAAAATCTGCTAGGTTAAATTGTGGCAATGAATTTTAGTTCATAATTGAACAATTCTTTAGCTACTTGAGAAGTTTTAGTCAAATAGTCTTACTCTTGTTGTAGGACCCGGTGATGCACCTCTTGCTCCGACACCTTTCGAATCTTTTGTCAAAGTTCCAAATCTACTTCGACCTCATACTCAGATATACTGCACAAGGTACTTGATCATTCAATTTCTCTTATGTGGCACTGATTTAATCATTCAAATAAATTGCCGCTTACTTGGGTTTTGTGACTAATTGGATGACAAGATCTTAACCTTACCGATCTTTAATTTTCATGTTGGGTATGTGTTGTATGTTTGTGGTGTTTATACCTATCAAAAAACACCTAATTGATTCAGAATAAATGGTATATCATCTGTCAATTAATCAAAAAATCACTTCCTTTGTCAATATATTTTGAGCAAATACTTTTTCGGTCTTAAATTCCCATTTTTTTCCGCCCCTTATCATGCAGGGAAGTAAGTAAAGTATATAAATCTATGAGTTAGGATTGTCAGATGAATTTGGGGAACCTATAGAGAAATCTGTTTTCAACTAGGTTCTCGTTACTTGAATCTCATAACTCAGTGTTAAATCATGGTTTAATATTCAGTGAGTGGGTGCTTGGAAACCGGGAGGATTTGGTGAAGGATATTGTTGAGGAATTGCAGACAGAGAATGGTGAGGTAGGGTCTCCATCAACCCTTTAATTTATTCTTCAGAGAATATTATCCAATGACCCAAGTCTATGTTATTCTCAATGAAGTTTGAAACGTCCGGTCCATAAACCTGAAGAATACTTAACTGGACAGAAATTAAGAATAGAAATTGGTCAATATAGTTAATTAGTTATCATGAGCTATGAAAAAGCTCGCACATGTACATGAATACATTTAGCATTACTGCATTGGTAGTAATGGAATCATCATATGTCCATCAACTGAGTCTGAAGTTCATTAACCACTGTTCACACCTACGTTATGATTGATGAGTAATGGAATGGCTAAATTTGATTCAAGGTCATCTTAATGATATGCTCTTTAGTGGCTATGTATGCGTTAGCAACAAGAATCATAGAGAGGACTTCTCTTACTGGTGCAGGAATGGTGGACGTACATATGCCTTGGACCTTCAGATCCTCACCCAAATTGGCACCTGGGGATGCGTGGAACACAGCAACGGGCAGTGATGTGGCGTGTGTGGAAAGAAGGTGGAACCGGGTTCTTGTACTGGGGTGCAAATTGCTATGAGAAGGCAACGGTTCCAAGCGCCGAGGTTATTTTTATTATCCTTGGTTTGTTTGTTAATGTTTCTTGATTGGTTGCTTCATGATATTATATAACCAAATGAATAGGTAAAGTTCAGGCGCGGTCTTCCTCCTGGTGATGGAGTTCTTTACTACCCCGGTGAAGTTTTCTCATCTTCCTCAGAGCCCGTTGCTTCACTTAGGCTAGAGCGCCTTCTTAGTGGCTTACAGGTATAGCTGATTTATAGTGATCAATCATATAACAATGAGGAACTGTTTCGATTGGCTTATTTGGGGATATTTATGTAATGAATCAGGATTATGAGTACTTAAAGCTGTATGAGTCAAAATACGGAAGAGCAGAAGCAATGGGGCTATTGGAGAAGACAGGGGTGTACACGGGGCCGGAGCGATACACTTTGGAACATAGACCAATCGATGTATTGCGAGGAGAAGTGTACAACACATGTAGACCATCTTGAGTAACCAGATCGTTTTGTATCTACCTATACACACTCTAAGTTAGCCCTAATTTAACAATAAAAGAACATAAGCAGAAAACTCTAACAACGTCTAGATTGTCGTTTTGCTTTATCAGTACGGATTATCTGATGTGAAAAAGGTTAATTAGTATGAAAACAATAAAATAGATAGATTGTCTTTGTTGGGAAATAACTTACGCAAAATGATATAATACCTCCACAATGACTAAAGAAGATTCACCACATTCAAGATTGTCTCGTTTATGTCATTTCATCAAACAGTAACAGCAAGAGCATTCTCAAAATGTGTTAACTTGGGGACAATAAGGACCGCGTCACACCACTCGACCATCCCCCAAATATCTCCATTGTTGTGTCTTTCAAGCGCAACCACTGCACACCAAACCATCTTCTCTCCACTGAGAGGCTCAGACTTGTCCCAAAAAACCGCCATCTTTCCACTATAATCCGCCAATTTAACAATAAGGGAAGTAGAAAACTCATGAGGCAGTCCTCTCAAACCATGAACTTGTTTCCACAATCTCACCTTAATGTCATACCATTTTAATACTCCCTGAATATAACAGTACAAAACATTCTCAATCACGCAATTAGAAAACCACTTGCAAGTCTTACCCACCTCTTGTTCCCATCTACCTTCCTCGGGATCGTAAGCTAAAACCTTAGTCCCAATCCTCAGATACAATTTTCCTTCAATACATATACTTTTGGTTAGCAAACCCCGTAATTCCTCCAAGTAAGGGATGAGGACATAATTCCAAATTTGGGTCTTTGTGTCGAAAACCTCCATCGATTCCGAGGATTCTGATTTTTTTTGTACTAAACCTCCTGCTACATAAATCTTTCCATCAATGACACTAGCTGAAGGGTACAACATCCTCTTCACCTTTAAGCTTGGAGCCTCACGCCACATGTGAGACCGACAATCTAGGACTGATACGTTAGATGAACGCATGAATCCGCCGCCAATGTGGTAGATATTGGAACCAACAGCCGCGTGACCCGACCAGTGGGGAGTACTAGTAGATTGTGAAGATGGGATTGGGACCAAAATATTGCCACTTGATGACTTCTTGTGATTAACTAGGGTTCGGTCAGGTTTCCGGCAGAGAGTGAACCAGCGAGCGTTAGCTTCAGTTGGGAAGTGTAAACATACATAGAGACAACTCTCGGTGCGGCGTAAGAGAGATCGGGCCTTGTAAAGCTCCGGTGAAGCAAGGAGAGATCGAAAGCTCTTTGAGACTAAGGAGAGAGTTGGATAGTACAATTTCGAGACGCGTGCTAAGCAAGTAATTAACACATCATCTGGAAGTGAAGGATTTGGGGTCGATTCCGGTGACAGTTTCTTTTTCTTAAGCGGTGGTTTCTTCGTCGTCGTGATCGTCTTACTCTTCCTCTTGGACGACATTATCGGGATCATCGAGACGAAATCTACTGACAAAATTTATCATCTCTATAAAAAAACACTTCTCGATTCGTGCTACCTCTTATTGGGCCTACGATATTTCCTTTGACATGGCTCGTTTTGTTAAAATTTTAGCCACTTACTTAAGTCCAAAGAACCAAAAACTCCGATCTATACTATATAAAAGTCGAAGTCATAAGCTTCTCAGGCTGTCCACCTAAGATTTTAAACGACCAATCTTAATTAGACATGTCATTATTTAGCATATTTAGATTTTTGAAATTGTCTATATTAAAATTTAACTAAAAAGGAAAATAAAAACCAATGATGTGGTTAAAAAAGAATTTTAACTTTTTCAAAAATGATGACAATTTTCTATATTAAAAGTTTTGTTAAAAAGGAAAAAAGCAACATATGGAATAATTAATATTTTTAATTCAGATTAAATAACATTTACAATTATAAATATTTTCTATAACATTTTTAATCGCTAATTAACATTTTTAGCCATCACCTCAATTGACATTTTCAAATTCTCATATTTTCTATATTGACATACTTGTGAAAAGGAAATCGATAATATAGGAATCTTAAATATAAGAGAAGTTTTTGTTACAATAAATATTTGTAAAAAGAAAAAAACGCATAAAATGTTAAAATAGATTATAGATTTAAATCACTTAATGTATGTGTATATATTTGATGGCATGAGGATCAAGAAAGTAGCGTAAAATGTAAAACTTTCAATGTTCCTTAGTGAAAAATGTAAAATATACACATCTTCCCGATTTATTTTCCAAAAATGTTAATTTTGTGATGAGAATACGTGTATATAAGCATAATCTCTACCGGAGAAGAATAAGAAAAAGACACAAAACAAAGTTAAAAAAGAAGAAATATTGGTGTGGTAAAGTCAAAGAGCAACATGCATATTAGTTAGTATAGTTACCCTTTAACCTTCGTGATTGTTCTTCTGAACTCCATCTCGGCTATTATGGTGCTTTGCTTCTGCGCCGAACTATGTTCATGGTAAAATTGTATATTAAATTACTGTATTTGCAATGTCTAGGTTTATGATAATAATACTTTATTGAAACAAACAAAAAAATAATATTTCTTATCTTAACAGTGATAAAATCTGTTGATTTTTAACTAACATGTTACAACTATATATAACAACGATTTTTTTATGATGTGAAATAAGCATGTCAATGGTTGTAGTTAAAGATCTTACATATTTGTTTTTCAAGTTAGGAGAGCTGGGGAAATCTAATTTCTTAAAGTTGTTCGAACAAAAGAAAGAACATCTTATCACTTTGTTTTACACAAACAAAATATTTTTGTTAGAAAACATATCTGATTTTTTTTTATGTAAGATAATGTAATAAAAATAAAAGAAAAAAGATGTGAAAAAGCATGTCGATTATAAATTTGATTTCCAAGTTGGGAGAGGTTGGAGGAGGTCTGGAAAGCTAAGTTCTTAAAGCTGTTCAAACAAAAGAATGAACAACTTATCAATTTGTGCCAACTAAATGTTAGAAAAAATATTGAAAATATTTTAATTGTGTAAGATAATGTAATAAGAAATAAAATAAAAAGATGTGAAAAGAACGTTGATGATGTATTATAAATTCTTACAAATTTGTTTTCTAAGTTGGTAGAGCTAGGGAAAGCTAAGTTCTTAAAGTTTTCTTAAAGTTTTTCGAACAAAAATATACAACATTTTATCACTGTGTGCCACCTAAACAAAAGATTTTTGTTAGAAAACATAATATATTGAATTATTTTTTAAGATAGAGTAATAAAAATAAATTAAACAAAGATTTCTTTTGCAATAACAAAATAAATGAAAGATAATATTTTAGAAACTATCATTAGTAGTATATGATTTTCTCAAAATATTTAAAATAAATGCAAAAATGTTAAAATATATGACTCTAAATCTGTTTGATTAATAACAAAAAAATACTAATAGATAAGAGCGAACACAAGTATGCCCTAATGTGTACATATTTTGGTTGTTTAATTTCAAATATTTTGTCAAAATAATGTATTAATCAATCAAGAGGTAGTAGGCTAAGAAAAACAAAAAAGTATAAAATATGTAAGACTTTAACTAATATGTGTGGAGGAGGTTCTCGAAGAAATTAAAAAGATACTAATAAACAGAATAAAACAGTTAAAAGTTGTTCGAAGAAATTATTTTATAAATTTTTTTAAAATTTTAAGTTGTTCGAACAACTTAAAGATCTTACATATTTTATACTGTTTTTATAAAATAAGTAAGAAACACATATTAAAAGATATTAATAAACAGTATAAAAACAATATAAAATTGTTCGAAGAAATTATGTGTTTTATATGATGTGCCTTCAAAGACTATATTAGTATCAATAGAAGGTAATTAACTAAAATAAGTAGAAAAAATAATAATTTATAATATAAAAAATTAATGATAATTGTTAATCATATATTTTAGATTTACATTATAGTTTTCTTAATGGTGTATTTGTAATATAAATTTTGCTCAAAAGTAATTGAAAAATATTTAGTGATGGAAACACTATAATACATCAGATTTCTAATATTATACCAACTTTGTCCTAAAGAATTTCTTTTCTTATTAAAACAAATTTGTAAACAACATAAATGATTCTAAGAATATAAAGAAAAAATAATTATGTTAAAAAGAATAAAAAATAAATGATTATAGTACTTTTGTATTACTATATGTCAATATATAGCTACTAAAATATTTACTAAACCTGAAATTATATTAAAACAATCGATACAAACAAACCCTTGCGTAGCAGGGGTTAATGACCTAGTCTATACTATATAAAAGTCGAGGCTATAAGCCTCTGAGACCGTCCACCTAGGATTTTAAACGACCAATTGCGGTTGGCCATCTTGCTAATTAACATTTTTTACCATCTCATTAATTAACTTTTCTATGTTTTACAAATTTTCTATATTAAGATATTTATTATATGGAAAATAATATATATATGGAAAGAAGGGATATGTAAACTTTTGAAAATATAACATATGGAAATAAAAAATGTAAAATTTAATTATTAAAATATGTAAAAAATATCTTTATTAACGAATTTAAATTTATGAATTTATAAACAATATCTTGGTAGAAAGGAAAATATATATCTATATCTATACTATATAAAAGTCGAGGCTATAAGCCTCTGAGACCGTCCACCTAGGATTTTAAACGACCAATCGCGGTTGGTCATCTTGCTAATTAACATTTTTTACCATCTCATTAATTAACTTTTCTAAGTTTTACAAATTTTCTATATTAAGATATTTATTATATGGAAAATAATATATATATGGAAAGAAGAGATATGTAAACTTTTGAAAATATAACATACGGAAATAAAAAATGTAAAATTTAATTATTAAAATATGCAAAAAATATCTTTATTAACGAATTTAAATTTATGAATTTATAAACAATATCTTGGTAGAAAGGAGAATATATATCTATACTATATAAAAGTCGAGGCTATAAGCCTCTGAGATCGTCCACCTAGGATTTTAAACGACCAATCGCGGTTGGCCATCTTGCTAATTAACATTTTTACCATCTCATTAATTAACTTTTCTAAGTTTTACAAATTTTCTATATTAAGATATTTATTATATGGAAAATAATATATATATGGAAAGAAGAGATATGTAAACTTTTGAAAATATAACATACGGAAATAAAAAATGTAAAATTTAATTCTTAAAATATGCAAAAAAATATCTTTATTAACGAATTTAAATTTATGAATTTATAAACAATATCTTGGTAGAAAGGAGAATATATATCTATACTATATAAAAGTTGAGGCTATAAGCCTCTGAGACCGTCCACCTAGGATTTTAAACGACCAATCGCGGTTGGCCATCTTGCTAATTAACATTTTTTACCATCTCATTAATTAACTTTTCTAAATTTTACAAATTTTCTATATTAAGATATTTATTATATGGAAAATAATATATATATATATGGAAAGAAGAGATATGTAAACTTTTGAAAATATAACATATGGAAAAAAAAATGTAAAATTTAATTATTAAAATATGCAATAAATATCTTCACTAACGAATTTAAATTTATGAATTTATAAACAATATCTTGGTAGAAAGAAGAATATATATATATATATATATATATATATATATATATATATATATATATATATTCACACAAAAGACATATAAATTTTGTTGATGTCAAAAAAAAAAAGACATATAAATTTTGTTATTGTAATATCTAAAAGTCGAGGCTATAAGCTTCTGAGGCAGTCCACGTGGAATTTTAAACCACCAATCGCTGTTTGACATATCATTAGTTAACGTTTTTGAAATTACTATTATTTTCTATTTTTTTTAGATTTTTGTAAAATGGAAAAAGCAACATATGGAAATAAAAGAAATATTCAAAAATATGGAAAATTTTCTAAATATTTTGTCATGACAAAATACATAATATAAAAATTATCAAAATATATATTATATATTTTTTAAGTTTATACAATTTTAAACGAAAATACAGAATTTATTTTTAGGCTCACTACATTTATTAGTAACTTCATTTTCAATAACAATAGCCATTTAATCACAATAGCTATCTCATTGAATGATATTTTAAAAATTTATGATTTTTATTTTAAATGTATTTATAGATAGGAAGAAATATGACAATATATTGAAGCAAGATGTATATAAATTTTGTAATTTTAATACATAAAATAATTTATATTAGTCTCACAAATTTGATTATATTTTCATATTTTCTAAACGACCAATCGCAATTACTCATCGTTAATTAACATTATTAAATTATAATATTTTATACAGTAAAATATTTATGAAAAAGAAATAAATATATATATATATATATATATATAAATATATATGAAAATAATAGAAATGTAAATGTTTAAAAAAAAACATATGGAAGTAAATAAGAGCAATATATAGAAAAAATAAATGTAAATTTTTGAAAAACAATATGTGGAATACATTAAACTTATATTCTTATTTTACTAAGTTTCTTATTTTCCAACAAAAAAAAAAAGAGTA